AATTAGGGAAATTGTCCATCATTACTTTTTCGAGGAGGTTCTCTATTCCTTGCTCCTCTTCTTCTCCTTCTGGTACCCCTATTACACGGATATTATTGCGTTTCAGGTTGTCCTGCATTTCCCTAAATGCTTCTTCATTCTTTTTGAGCCGTTTTTCCATTTCTTGTTCTTTCTGGGAGCTTTTTTCTACCTTGTCCTCCATCTCACTGATTCGATCCTCGGCTTCATCCAGCCTGCTTTGGATTCCTTCTACTGTGTTCTTCAATTCAGAAATGGTATTCTTCATATCCTCTTGTGTCTTCTTGATTGTGTCTATGTCCCTTTCCAGGATGATATAGTTTTGCTGTAAGATCCTGATAGCTTCTCTGCAGTTTCTCATAGTTATCTTTGAGTTGGCTGAGCTCATTGAGCTTCCTTAGAACCATTGTTTTGAATTCAGTATCTGATAGTTCCCTTGCCTCCATTTCATTTAGCTCTCTCTGTGGGGAGTCCCCTTTTCCACTCATTTGGGGGGAACTTCTTTTTCTTCCCATTTTTGTGAGAGTCTGTTAAGTATTTTTGTCCTTTACTTTTCTTTCTGGGCTTGCCTCTGATGATGTCAGTTGTTGACCCTATAGGATCCTGGGTTGTTTGTTTGAGTCTTTCAGGAGTCTAATGCCTGTGTCTGACTCCTGCTTGGAGCAGCTCTGTGACCCCTTTGGTCAGAGCTGAGCTATTTTTTGGGATGTCTCTGCGCTCTCCCGCGGGCTCCTTGAGCGCATTCCCAGCGCAGCAGGGTCCCCCGCCTGCCTGGGCTCGCATGTGCTTGCCCCAGATCAGGGGGCTTATTCGCAACCTCCCGTACTCATCTGGCCTCCCTGGCACGTGAGCTTCACGGCACTGGTCAGTTTAGGGTCTTCTATTGTGTGTTTTCCCTGCTTTTGGCTCTTTGGGTGCGTTGCTTGCCCTCGCCAAATGGGGACTACGGAAATGGGAGGAAATCAGCTCTAGGACTCTCCGGTTAATCCTGTTTCTGGTCTCTCCTCCAGGGACTCTGGGCAGCTCTACTTATTTTGTGGGCCACTCCGCAATCGCGGTGGGTAGGTCAATTTACTCCTGCCCTTGCCCCTCTGTGCAATCCCTCGCAGGCCGTATGGGTGCCAGTCTGTGTGAGGCCTTGCTGGCAGGTGCAAGCGTTCGCCAGCCCGCGTGGGTCACACACACGCTTGCCAACCCTCGCCGGTCACTCGGCGCAAGTGTTATAGTGCTCTGGGTGTTTTGGGGGTGTCTATGTTTGCTTTTCAGCTTTTGGCTCTTTGGGGGTGTGGCCTCTTCCCGCACAATGGAGACTACAGCAAGGAGAGGGAGTCGGGACTCCCGGGTTCCTCCTCCCGTTCTTTTCCCAATGTCTCTGTTTCTAGTCTCCCCTCAGGGGCCTCTGGGCAGTTCTGTGACCCCTTCGGTCAGGGATCCAACCCCTGTGCGGACTGCGTTTCAATTGCAGGCAGTCTGGTTCATGCGCACCCCGCTTCTGCCTCTTTGGGGTCGCGCCTTTCCAGTCCACAATGGAGACTACCGAACGGGGAGGGAGTCGGGACTCCCCGGTTCCTCCTCCCGTTCTTTCCCCAACGCCTCTGTCTCCAGTCTCTCCTCAAGGCTCTCCCAGCCAGTCTGCACTCAGCCTCGTAGCTCACAGGCGTACAAGCTGTGTGCGGAGCACACAAAGGGCAGGTTTATTGATTCCCTTATGCCTGAGCGAGATGGTAGCTGCAGAGTGGGAAGTGCGTTGTCACCCGGGCTCCACCGGCTGCCGAGTCAGTTCTCTTCACAAAGTTTTCCTCACCAGTCTTTTCCCAGGCACCAGCCCACCCTGCTGCCGCCTCTACCCAGAGATCAAGGAGGGCGGCTGCCACTGCAACTTTTGCGTTTGCCCTTTAAATGTCTTTTTGCATCCCCAGCCACCTGTCTCTGGCAGAGAGCACCCCTAAGCTTTTTGGGGTTGCGTTTTGTCTGTATTTTCTCGGCTTTAGCTGCTGTAGTTTAGGGGTTCCTGTTTATGATTCAGACCCCGTTCTTCTCGGGGGGACGCTAACTGGCCGTTTCAATGTCCCTCTGGTGCCAGTGCCCGTGCGCACCCAGCCCACCCTCTCGAGCCTCCACCGCAATTCTCACCCGTTGGGATGTGTGAGAGCAGAATCCACTGTCCGCGGCACCAAGGCTCCTCTCCCACTATTGCTCCACTGCTTTCCAGGTGATTACTCCATTATTTAGTTGCAATTCCAGTTTGGTTTTGGGAGGAGGTCAGCGTGACTCCCTTTCACTCCTCCGCCATCTTTCCAATCTCAAAAATTCTGTACACCATTTTTTAGAAAGAATGGATATTCTTGACAGATGTTAGCAAGTTGGTGAATAGTATAGGTAGATCTTAGAATTCTAAATTTCTTTTTAACAGCTGGATATTAGCTTTATTTTTCCCATATATATGCTCTGTAATTTCTAAAATGCCTATATCAGTTAAGAATGGTTCATGTAACAGAGCATGTAATTTAAAAAATTTTATTCGATTTATTTAATTAACAACAACAGAACAGTTCCCCCAACCCCCTCCACTTGCAACCACCAATCTGTTCTCTGTATCTCTGAGCTTGTTGTTGTTTTTGTTTTTTTTAAGATTTAACATGTAAGAGAGATCATATGGGATTTGTCTTTCTCTGTCTGGTTTATTTCATAGTATAATGCCCTAAACATCCATGCATGTTATGCAGATGGCAAGATTTCACTCTTTTACAGTTGAATAATATTCTATTGTGTGTATGTACCACAATTTCTTTATCCATTCACTTATTAATGGACACTTAGAATGTTTCTATATCTTGGCTATTGTAAATAATGCTGCAATGAACATGGTAGTGCATATATCTTTTTGAATTAGTGTTCTCTTTTTCTTTAGATAAACACCCAGAAGTGGAACTGCTGGATCACAAGGTAATTTTACTTTTACTTTTTAAAAAAAATTCCATACTGTTTTTCATACTGATTTTACCAGTTACATGTCTACCAATAGTGATTCCCTTCTATCCATATCCTCAGTTTTGGGTGGAGGGGTTCAAAACACCAGTGAACTGTGAAGTCTTCAGAAGAAAGCTGAAGAGAAGAAATTGATGAACGGGCAGGAAGAGGGAAGATGATAGACTGAAAGTGATAACTGAAGCCATGAATAGTAAACAATATCTGGGGAACAGGGGCCTTGTCTGAATCATCTTTATGTCCTCTGGTTCTCATTACACCAGGCAGCTAGTACCCGTTCCTATACATGTACTTACCTGTATTTATGTGGAGTGGTTGATCATTCCATGAACAGGTATTAAAGGTGATGAGATGGTGAATTGCCTAATGGAATACTGGGACTCTGAGCAAGGAAGAGGACAGGGCTGAAGATGGAGTGATTCCTCTTTGCAGAGTTAACAACAGAAGTTAGGGAGAAGCTCAAAAAAGCAGTGATGAATCAAGCATTTAAGCCCACATGTTCAAGGAAGAGGACCAAGTAGAGGTAGTGATAGAAAAACAAATAAACCAACAAAAATGTGGAGGAAACAGTGAAGAAGTAGGTTGGTATTATGTGATGGAGGTCAGAATTATAGAGATATTTAATAACAATGATGGTAATAGCTAGTGTTTATTGCATGATGACTAGATATCAGGAACAAGCTACTGTAACTGTATTACCCTAAAGACTAAGTGCATCATCCTCTGTACTCAAAACAATTCTGTGACATAGGCATTACTTTCACCTTCATATTATAGATGAATTATCTTTGGCTAAGGCAGGCTAAATAGTTGCTCAGGGTAACACAATTAAATATATCACCAAGCCAGGACTAAACCAGTATGTCTAGTTCCAGAACCTGTAGAGATTTCTGCCTCTTCAAATGAGAAGTAAACAGCATAAAATACAGTAGAGAATCCTAGGACACAGAGAAAATGCACACATATGCACACACACACACATTTAATTTGGGACAAAATGGCTGTCAGTATTCACTGAGATAATATTTTCAACACAGTGGTGAAAGCAAAAAACAAGGTAATTATCAGAGATACATGGAATGTGTAGAGGAAAAATTAAGGTAGAGTGTGAGTTCACTTTTAGACAAAACAAAACAAAAAAATTAGTAAGTGAATTTAGATGTTCCTAAATTCATGATTGCTAACATTTGTGAACATAGTATAGCCAAAGAGAAAGCCACATTTAAATGCCAGCAAACCATTTACTGAAAGATGACTTGATCACACACACACATATATCCTAGTATATACATTTTTACCTCTGAACAACCATATAAGATTATTTCTAAAACCTAATGTTCTAAATGAGGAGTAGGAAAACTGGCCTGTAAGCCAAATCTGCCAGCACAGGTTTTTGTATGGTCCAGGAGCTAAGAATGTTTTTTATTTTTTTTCTCTTTTTAAAATTCTCAACCAAGGACATTTTTTTTAAATTTTTTTCAGAGAAAGAGAGAGGAAGGGAAAGAGAGAGAAACATTGATGCAAAAGAAAAACACCGACCAGTTGTCTTCTCACACATACCCCTATTGGGTATTGAATCTGCAGCAGGGTCATGTGCCCTGATCAGGAATTGAACCTACAACCCTTAGGTCCATAGGATAACACTCCAACTAACTGAGCCACACTGGCCAGTGCACTTTTTGTTTTTCTTAATGGTTAAAAAAATTAAAAGCAAAATATTATTCTTTGATAAATGAAAATGCATATGAAATTCCAATTTCAGTGTCCACAAAGAAAGTTTTTTGGAATGCAACCACACTACTAGTTCACCTATTTTCTTTAGCAGCTGTCTCACAACTGGGGAAGTTGAGAACGTTTCAAGAGACTTTATGGCTAACAAAGAATAGATATTTAGCATCTGGCTCTTTACTCAAAAATGTTTCTATTTTTTGTTTTAAATCATCAAAATTATTTTCATTTTTAATATAAATCACAAAAGAAGTGAAATTAAATACCTGGCAAAGATGCTTTATTAGTTCTCAGAATGGGTATTTCTTTCCATCTATCACCATTGTTTTCATCCTCAGCTATCCAGGAATCAACAGTTAGACAAAACAGCTCACATGTGTCTATGTTTTCAAGTCTAATTTCTTCAAGATACCACCTAGGGTCATTTCCACTGTTGTCATGTCCAATATGTATTTTAGAGATTTCACCAATACCTTTGAGATTAATCTGCAACACAAAAGAGAAAAGGGAAATAAAATTTACTACATCTCTGAGTTGATTTGTTGAATTAAAATTCATGTTCTATTTTTGAACTAAATATCTACTTTTCCATCTGACATATTCCTTATTAATTTCCCTTAAAACTAGTTACTTGTCACACCATGAAAAGCTGTTACTTAGGGCAAAGCAGAAATCTATCAACCATGGACAAACTAATAGGTTAAATCCACCTAATATTCACTATATCTTTTTTTTTAAGTAACTCACTTATACTATTAAAAATAAATATTTTGTTGTAATTATTGATATACACTGTTTATTCAGTGTTTAGACCTAAAGAAGATAATTTAATCTTCTGGACCAATGTCTATAATAGATTGGATTTGCCTATTAAAGTGGTATTCTGAGGAAAAGAAACCATATACATGTGTACTTCTAAATTTGAATTAGGGCTAACCAAATAACCCATAAACAGAGTGAATTTATATTGGGAGGACTGTGACTTTTATTCCAGTTTTACTGAGGAATAATTGACATATGATCACTGTATAAGTTTAAGGCACATGGCATGATGGTTTGATTTACAATAGTCCAGCTAACATCCATCTCCACATATAGGTGGAATAAAAGAAAAAAAGAGAAATATTTTCCTGTTGTGACAAGAATGCAGAGGATTTATTTGCTATAGTCATCATGTCGTACATTACTTCCTTAGTACTTATTTATATTATAATGGGAAGTTTGTACCTTATGTCTATCACCTACCAATTTTCTCTCCACTCACCCTCCACTTCTGGCAACTACAAATATGGCCTGTTGTCTATGAGTACAGCTTTCATTTTCAAGTTGTTGTTGTTGTTGTTTTTATATTCCACACATAGGAAAGATCATACAGTAATTGTCTTTCTTTTGCTTTCTTTGTTCATTCAACATAATGCCTTCAGGTTCTATTCATGTTATCACAAATGGTAAGATTTTCTCATTTTTCATGCCTGAATAATATTCTGTTATACCACAATTTCTTTATCCGTTCTTCCATTTATGGCCAGTTAGGTTACTTCCGTGTCTTGGCTATTACTAATAATGCTGCTATGAACATGGAAGTGTAGATATCTTTTTAAGTTAGTATTTTCATTTCTTTTATATATATTGCCAGAAGTAGAATTGCTAAATCACATGGTTCATTTAGTCCCATATAGCCAATTTTGTTCATCTTGAGTATTTGCCAGTATTTCCATGAATCTATTTATTCCTTAGAGTTCTATAAATCTTCATTTACTTCAAAGATATGACCTGCTTAGATACCTATAACTTAGAGTCAGAATCCTTTTCATAAACCTATCCAAAGATACATTTGCAAATGTATTAGAGTGAAACAGTGACTGTTTATAAATGACCAAATTTAAAATGACATGGTTTAGATTTGATTATGGTGTAATTGATAAACAATTTTAGTTTTCTGTAAGATATAACATTCCAAGATAATAATTTCTTTGTATATAATAATTACTATGAAATGACATAAAACAGTACAAAGCCCTTATTTTTAGACTCAACATACAATTGCAATATATATAAAGACCAAACACTATCAAAGCTTTAAAATGCTGTACAGGACTTAGCAGAAGTGTGCATTGAGCATTGGAAACAATTCACAAATTCTGAAGGGTGCATTACAAACACCTGGAGTACCACTTCTCAATGTCCCCATAAGGAACCAGTGCTCTTGGCTTGTCAAGTTAACTGACAGGACACCTGCCATCTCTGATGTTACCACTGAGAGTTTCCTGTTTAAACTTGATTCTGAATCTTTGCAAGTTTCTCCATGGGGCACGTTGAAATTTTTAGGAAATCTATTTTGATAAAGATATATACATACATACAAACAGAATAGTTGTTATTATTCTGTTTGGTATTCTTCCCATGTAATTTTGAGCATATAAATAGGCCTGATTAGTTCAAAAACTGCTCTTTTATAAGGAGAGAGAATAAATACGTGAGATATTCCAGGGCCCAAAAGAATAACTCAAAGTCATTTCTCACTTTTTAAAATTTATATTTTGGGAAGATTGTCAAATATACTTAGCCAAAATATCATAACATAAACTTCTTGTAAAGAAAACAAATTGGAGGGTAATAACCCTGAAATACATTAGTCAAACTTAAAACTGGATTTAATATCAAATATTTTGTCCAGAACATAGGGTCCTCCTTAATATATATAAATATTTAATATCTTTAGGCCAATAAAATATTACACTTTAGTTATTCCATGCAGAGGCGGAAAATGTATCACATATACTACACAAACACATATCACATAAAGACCATACACATGAAGACTGAACATCTAAAGACCACACACAAAATTTTTGCAGAGAAAGAACAAGATTATTGGTTTTATAGGACTAAATTATCTAAAGATAACTGTTATTCTTATGACTTTGTTCAAAATATTGCTAATTTTAAATCTTTTTCTTTTCCAGATATAAGAACACTTGATTTTTTTTTCTTTAGAACAATTTGTAAATTATACCCTCAAAAGCAATACTGAAACATTTACATTTTTCTCCCTACCGAATCCCTCCAGGATTCAGCAACTGTTAGTGTGAGAGGGTTATTTTCATGGCAATATTTTTGTTTGCATAAACTCACTATGAATCTGTTCTCTTTATATTAGCACCAGTTTCCAAATGTGGTTTTATTAACCAAGCTTTTGTCTGGAATATCAAAAGAGTCATACCAGGACTCTAGAAATATCACCAGAAAGCCTTAAAAATTAAGGTTAACTTTCTGAGCAAATAAGAGTTCCTTGGAGAAATGGTCTTGTACCTTGCTTGGTCCCATGGTTCACGGCAGTCTTTCCAGGTAAGGAAAAAAGGTTGCTTTCCTGAAAGATGGCAAGGAAGAGCCTGAAGACATTTCAGGCACCTCAAGAACTTGAGGAATCCTTCCTAGAAAATACAATCTTCCAAATATAAATCGGGAAGAATCAGAGAATCAGAATAGACAGATTATACCTAATGAAATTGAAGCAATAATAAAAAAACTCCCAACAAATAAAAGCCCAGACCACATGGCTTCACAGGTGAATTTTTCCAAATGTTCCAAGAAGAACTAACACCTCTCCTTCTCAAACTGTTTCACAAAATTCCAGAGGAGGGAAGGCTCCCAAACTCATTTTACAAGGCCAGCATTATCCTAATTCCAGAACCAGACACTACAAAGAAAGAAAATTATAGGCCAGTATCTCTGATGAACATAGATGCTAAAATCCTCAACAAAATATTAGCAAACCATGTATAGCAATGCATCGAAAATCATACACCATGATCACATGAGTTTTATTCTGGAATGTAAGGATGGTATAATATTCACAAATCAATAAATGTGATTCATCACATAAACAAAATGAAGGAAAAAACTACATGATCATATCAACAGATGCAGAAAAAAGATTTGATAAGATCCAGCACCCATTTATGATAAAAACTCAGCGAAGTGGGAATAAAGTAAACGTACCTAAATGCAATAAAGGCCATATATGACATACCCACTGCCGGCATCATACTCAATGGGCAAAATCTACAAGCGTTCCCCTTAAGACCAGGAATGAAGGGATGTCTGCTTTCACCTCTCTTATTCAACAGAGTACTGAGAGTCCTAACCACAGAAATCAGACAAGAGGAGATATAAGTCATCCAAATTGGAAAGGAAGTAGTAGAATTGCCTTTATTTGAAGATGACATGGAGAGAGAGCCCGAAAGTTTCCACCAGGAAACTACTAGAACTGTTAAGTGAATTCAGTGAAGTATTAGGATAAAAATTAATATTCAGAAATCAGTTGCATTTTTATATGGCAATAACAAACTAACAGAAAGGGTAATACAGAAAACAACCCTATCCACCATTGCTTCAAAAAGAATAGAAGTCCTAGGAATAAACCTAACCAAGTATGTAAAAGAGTTGTACATGGAAAATTACAAGAAATTGAAGAAAGAAGTTGAAGAAGATACAAATAATGGAAGCATGCACTGTGTTCATGGATACGAAAAATTAACATCATTAAAATGTCCATACACCCAAAGCAATCTATAGATCCAATGCAATTCCTATCAAGATTCTAACGATGTATTTCACAGAACTAGAACAAGTATTTCAAAAATTTATATGGAACCCCAAAAGGCCCCACATAGCAACAGTGATCCTGAGAAGGATAAACAAAGTTGGAGGAATCACACTACCTAATATCAAACAATACTACAAGGTCATAGTAATCAAAACAGCCTGGTAATGGCATAAAAACAGACACAAAGATCAATGGAACAGAACAAACCCCAGAAACAAACCAACATCTTTGTAGTCAATTAATATCTGACAGAGGGATCAAACATACACAATAGGTTAAAGATAGTGTATTCAATAAGTGACATTGGGAAAATTGGGCAGATACATGCAGAAAAATGAAACTAGACCACCTTCTTATACCTCATGCAAAAATAAATTGAGAATGAGTCAAAGACAAATGTGAGACCTGAAACTACAATAATCCTAGAAGAAAACATAGGCAGAAAAATATTGGATATATTTCATAGAAATTTTTTATTGGATCTATCTCCCCAGACAAGAGAAACTAAAGAAAAAATAAACAAATGGGACTTCATCGAACTAAAGATTTTTTGCACAGCAAAGAAAATGATCAACAAAATAAAAAGACAATCACAGAATGGGAGAAAATATTTGCTGATACATTTGATAAGGGGTTAATATCTAAAATATATAAAGTACTTACAAAACTCAACACCAAAAAAAAAAATAATAATAAAAATGACCCAATTAAAAAATGGGCAAAGGACCTGAATAGACACTTCTCAAAAGAGGACATACAGATGGCCAATAGACATATGAAAAGATGTTCAACATCGTTAATCATCAGAGAAATTAAAATTAAAACCACAATGAGATACCATCTCACCTATCAGAATGGCTATCATCAATTAATCAAC